ACCTAATAATTAAAAAGAAAATCTTTGCCTGAGACTGTTTAAGTCCGTAGATAAGTATTGTTGCGATAATAAAATATGAGTTTTTTTATTTTTTTTATTTTTAAGCATGATAATCAAGTTACGAAACCGTTAGTGCTAACCTTTCCGTCAAGGGTCATTAACGTTTAACGCTCCAAGGAAAAGCAAGACTGGGGTTGCGTACTCTGACATCTCTGGTTAGTTTGAACAGCTTAATGTAATATTTTGGGTGAATTTGAGTGAAATTAGAAACATCATTGAGCAGACAAATGTGGACTGCGTCAACATGAAATAATATAATATATATATAATATATATATATATTATATAATATATAATAAAATAAAAGCTAAACGGCTGCAGTACAACGATTTTCATCCGTCCTCATCTGGTGAGATCGAAAAACGAATCTCTTTTTCATGTACTTTCATTCGAAATGAAGGTCCCCCTAACAAAGAGAACCTGGTCAATTTTCTTGTTTCGATGAACACGATAGACGGCAAGACAAGAGAAAGGAAGATGGTCTACCTTATCTGGATGTGTTGGTTAGCAAAGAGGGCACCAAATTAGGTGGAGATGTCTGAGGAAACTAAAAAATGAAGATTTCCTTTTAGAATTTCGTTTCCAGCCACACATGTTGGGTTAAAGTGGGAGTTATGTAGTCTATGATAGTAAGGAGCCTGCGTCTGGCAGATGTTAAGCCTCGAGAATAGGAATTGAGAAAGCTAGAGCTGAATTCTGGTCGAGAACAATTCTACATGAAGACTGATTGACAATTATTTGAGAATATTGTCAAACAGGATGAAGGAAAATGCATATATTTAGGGTTAGATAAGAAGATAGATCACTCTGCCACAACCTTTATTCTGTGTTCGTGTAATCTGTCGAAGAAGATGAGTGAATTACTGAGGGCGTGGGACATCAGGACGATGTATAAAGAGAAAATAACACCGTCCTCGGTATTGCCTCTTTTTAGAGAATATTCTGACCCCTTCTACAGATCGAGCTGCCTACGTGGGAGAGACCTGTAGATCCATACAAGGGTCTACGGGTCCAACAATCGGAATTCACCGAACTCATGTTTGCACAGGACCCCAGATGGCTTCGTCCGATGTCAAACACTAATTTGCACAAGGAGACTGTACCAACCAGTCAACGAAAGATTAGAGAAGCGATAGAAATCAGCGAAACAGCCAACACCGTGAATAGAAGCAACGAATGTATGAAGTTGACAGGATGTTGGGTAGGATTAGAGAGAGAGAGAGAGAGAGAGAGAGAGAAGTGGGAGGAATTAGGAGTATCAGCGAGTAAGAGGAAGAGGCTTGATTGGGCTCGATTCTGGTTGTGACTCTCCCATCACACATTCATTTTAAGAGCAATGCATTCACACAACTCGCATACAATGGAAGACAATCACATGCGGTACACATGTTTTAGTGTAGGACGCAATTGTTTGGTCGTGATTTCGATCCGTTTCACACTTCATCCTCAGCCACTTGACTTAACTTTTGAGTAAACATTGAAGCAAAGCAGACGATATTCAACCAGAACATGAGATGCCCAATTGAGTGGGCCAAATTGGACCATACCGAGAAGGTGGGTTTAAAGCCGGCCACTTTTCCTGTCTTTGTGTTTTCGTGAATTGTCGTCAAGCGTCGCATGGTGTCTTGCTATGACGAAGGCCTAGCAACGATTCATCGCAGTTGCAGGTCGGTGCACCGAGGACCTATTCGCACAAATCCACAATCGCAGCTCACTTTTCACTCGACCCTTCAAATGGAATGAATGGTACTCGAACATAAATTTATTGAGGGATTCTTTGAAGCCCAGTTTTTGGTCAATTTCTTCTTTTATTTTTCTCTGTGACTCTTTGTCCTCTTGTCTTTTTTCATAAGTGCGCCCTTTTGCTACTTGTTCCTTGTTTAAACGCCTTCTTCTCTGCTTTTTCTACCTTTTTAGCTGCTGTGGATCATCTCACCTTTCGAGCTCTGAAGGAGGACAAAGTCGACTTTGTACGTCTCTTCCTACAGAACGGCCTGGCGATTCGTCAATTCCTCTCGCTGCAACGTCTCCATCTGTTGTACAACCAAACCCAGCGTCAGGCCGGCTTTTTGCGCAACCTCGAATTTTTCCACATCACCAGCGTCGGATCGTCTTCGCGGAAGGAGCAGAATAAAGGCGCCAAGCATGACCAACCGATCGGAAAGGGTTTGCCCAATTTGAGTCGAGTTCACCTCGAACAGATGCTTGAGACGCCGGTTCTGATACATCCGGAAAAGTGTAAGTGCTCTCTTCAACTGTCCCGTCTTGCTAGAAACTGGCAAAATGCTCCTACACTCCTCCTGCACGATGTTTTGGCTGAAAATATTTTATAAATGAGTAAAGTTTCGAGACCCTTTGACGAAATAGGGTGAATACAACTCATTAACACTGATTTACTGGTAGTCTCGAAATTCTACTTAACTACGAAACATTTAGTAAAAAAGAAGAAATATTCGTATTAGAGTAGGGTTTCGAGACTACCAGTAAATCAGTGTAATAAGATGTATTCACCCTATTTCGTCTAATTTGATAAAGGACTGGTAGTAGAATTTTCCCACATATCATTCTGGGAAAATTCTACTACCAGTCCTTTATCAAATTAGACGAAATAGGGTGAATACATCTTATTACACTGATTTACTGGTAGTCTCGAAACCCTACTTTTATACCACTTTATCTTCGTCGAATTCTTGCTGTTCCTGTGTTGTCTCTGTACCATGGCTTGCTTCACACTCGCTCCTCAAATAGCATCAGAGTCCTAATCGCCGCCAGTTCAGCAACACTTTTCGCTCGCGAACCTCTGTCATTAATCAGCCGTACAGCAATTACAGTCCTTTGGCGGAATCGAGACCAAGCCGTTGACAACAGAAACTGGAAGTGAACATTGAATTTGCTTTTTGCGCTACTTTCTTGTATGGCAACAGTAATGCTATTAATAAACCATGTGTAAATTGTGTTCAGACAATACGAGCCCAAAATTGCTCACACCTTTCTGAACGCCGACATAATTGTTAGTCACATGAGATGCAGTAGCCTCAAAGCCATTCTTATAAACGAACAATTAATATTATTAATTGGTTAATCTTGATTTCCACAAGCCTTATTAGTGCAAATTTGCACCAATTTTGTCTGTGTTAAATATGGAGTCTAACGACAAAAACAGGATTGACCGTCGATGTAAAGCTTTCCAGCAGTCGAAAGAGTTTTAGTTTGCTTTGAAATGCATACTTTTTTCGGCAACTCAACAGAGCTCGGTTTTTGTGTTCTGGAAGCTGATGTTTGTGTCTCTAGACAGCTCGAATCCGGCTGGAGGTGCCGAGGAGACCGAGGAGGAATCAAGACCACAGCCCATCCTGAATGAGAACAGAACTTGACGACGAAAAACTCACAGGACTTCCATTTGAAGTCAAGTATTCTCTTCAACTAATCGTATACAAAGGGGTTATTCGTTTCTCAGAAACCATGAGAAACTGAAGCTTCAACGAAGCAGCCTTGAGAACTTGCTTCATGGGTTCATAGTTGGTACAGCTTTCCACACAGCTTTTATGAATAACATCACTTGCAGGTCTATGAAAGCTATTCATGTCGACACAAATTCCATGAAACTTATAAACAACCTCAAAGTGGAGCTTCTTGTGTATCGGGATTCGGGCCCAGTTTGGTGAGGTTAACGTTATCGAAACAATTCTGGTGTGATACAATCTCGAGACCTTCATCCACGAGGCTTTGACTAATTGCATGCGAAGTGTAACTGGACTTCAATGACTTTCTTGAAATAAAATTGTCTTAAAGACTTTGATTGTATGCAAAAAGTGTCGGATGAAGGCAGTTTATCGCACGATCTCACCCTTATTAGGTCGTCAAACCTTGCTGAATCAGGACTCAACTTAGGCTCTTTTGTAATTTTTCATAATTATGACCGTCAGTTTTATGCCCTGATACACGTAGAGACGCAAGCTCACATACCAGCACACACAAAATTCAACCCTCGAAGTAGGTAAAGTTATCTTTTAGGTTGTGGGTATACATTCCATGCGTTTTCTACAAGCCTTGGTAAGATTGGTAGACTGCAAAGTGGCAGAACCGATGCAACCTCGAACCATTTTCATCCGAACCCTGAGAGAATGTTTCATCCACCGGCGTCATAGTACAATTAAACAATAGGAAAACACCGAGACTCATGTGTCGATCTACACATCTCTTTCACACGAGCAAAGAATCACAACAACCCTTTCTAATTGTTGGTATTCCTCACCTGCGTTTCACACACTTGTCCTCAACCTCTGGAATTCCACTAACTCCATTTGAACTACTTCACAGCTCTAGACCATATTTATTAATTAATTTTCATATTCAACTTTACTTGTGTGTA